TTCCCTCCACCCCCAAAATCTGCTAAATTTGCCTAAAATGTTGCCATTTTGATTACAATTCACTACAATTCGGACTATTGTAAAGACACGTTATAGGTCTTAAAGGAATACTATAGCTTCAGGAATACAAACCTGTATTCTAGACACTATAAATCTAAATAGCTATTTAGGTTCCAGCCCCTTTTAAAAAGGTGATTTACTCGCCTTTTTCCAGTGCCGTTACTTTGTGCGTCTCTGTGTATGTATGTGACTGTGCATCTAGGTATATGTATGTGTGAATGACTGTGTATAATCGTGTAACTATTTGTGGAGACTTTGTGTGATTGTGTATAAGTCCATATTTGCATGTGAGTGCATGTATAATTGCGTATGTTTGCATGCATGCATGTCACTGTGTATGTATATGGAGGGGAAAAAGTTTAAGAAAGACACGAAGTAAGGAGGGTTAAGAGACGCACAAGAAAGTGAAAGGGTTTAAGAGAAACACAAAGTTGAAAGAGGGATTAGGAGATGCACACATGAAGGCATTTCTGCCACGGGTGACAAGTGACTTGACTATGACTCTATATTGGCAGTGGATCTTTTAAAGGGACACCTCACTGCCCACATTTTTTTATTTTTTTATTGATGGGTAAATCTAAAAAGCACTTGCAAAAAAAGCCTGGAGCTGTGTGAGGGGCCCCAACATTTCTGATGATAGCCCTGATGCCAGGACCCAAAGTTTCCCAGAGTATAACACTAACTCCGCCGGCCTGCCCTTTTCCTATAGTGGACCCTGCTGCTATCTCTTACAAGGTAAATGACGCACACATTGCTCTTCATCTGTCAGTTGTTTTCATCTTGTGGCTGATTATTTTATGTAGATTTGAATGCACCTTTAGTATGTATTATAGATAAAATATTGTGTGTACCATGACATGCACACTTTAAATTCCATCTTTACATTTTGCTAGCAGAATAGTTAAAAAAAAAAAAAAAAAAGGGTTTAAAAACAGGTCTTCCTGACCTGCCAATTGGTTATTCATTATAGATGCAAATGCCAAAGAACTGATTGATAAAGAAAACAGGACACATATTCTTCAGGTGGTACTCCCGCTTTCATGCATAGAACCGCAGTACATGCGCTGTGATTGCTATGGTAACCACTCTAGTCAGTGCTTTTTGCAGGACTTCATATGCAAACACATCAAGTTAATTACTGTGATATATTTATTAGTGGTAGTATTTTAATAAATTTAAAAGGGCCAACATATTCCATTGTTCGTCCATTTCTTAAAGGAATACTATAGCTTCAGGAATACAAACCTGTATTCTAGACACTATAAATCTAAATAGCCATTCAGGTGTCCAGCCCCTTTTAAAAAGGTGATTTACTCGCCTTTTTCCAGCGCGTGTGGGTCTCCTTGCGGTTTTGTCCTTGCTCCGCCCCTTTGGCTGAGATAGTCAAACATGATGATCTAAGGCATTCCAATGCTTCTCCATAGGATAGCTTTAGGAGACTATCGCACATTCGTGGCAAAATGCTGTGTGCGCCAATCAGCATCTCTTCATAGAGATGCAGTAAATAAACGCATTTCTATGGGGTGCATCCTCCAGGGACATGCAGTGGACAGTAGAACTACATGAAGCTGTAGTTCTTCTGGTGACTATAGTGTCACTTTAAGATTTCAAATAATAGGCTACGAGACAGACTTTAAACCTTGCTGACCCTTACAAATCTGTCTAGGGCACATAGAATGTTAACTCGCCAATACTACTTGCCTATCTGCAGGGAGTAGGTTCTTTTCATTGGGTTATAACCCATCCTCCAATAGCAGTGGTAGGTTCAGCATTCTGCCTGCCTATTGATGTTTATGAATGGACTACAGAAATATTGCACAAAAACTCCTGCTGCATTACTCCCATGGTCTGTCTAAAAGCTCTTAGCTGGTATCTATATCTTCCAATATGTTTAAGTGAATAATACAATAAATATTTTAATTTGCAACATTGCATACCACGGAGAAAATTGTGCTATAGCTTACAAGAAAAGTGGCACCTCTTTCATAACAATTGTTTTGTATTTTTAAAATTGTCCACAAATGAGGAGTTTTGGACTGTGTGCATTGCCAATATAAAAGCATACAGGTAGTATAATTGAAGTAACTTTATAACTAGGATGGCTTTTATTTTGTAGAATATACACTAATGAGCAGACCCAGCTGCAGTGGGCACATAGATGTTAGCAGAGGGTTTTGAGTAGGCAAAGTATGTGTACTGTCTAATAGGACCCCATTTTCTGTTTCATGTGAGTGACTTGCATCTGCTGTATGTTTTATAAGTATAACATAAGCATTTTAATGGCCTGAATAAACTTAGTTGGATTTTATATAAGGATTACAAACCTTGTATTTGAGGGTTAGTTACTTTATATTTAAATTTGTAAAAAAGCATAAAAAAAACCCCTCCACCCTCCCCCCCCAAAAACATGGTCTTGGGCCCCACAGGCCAGCTTTCCTACTACTCTTGCGATAATGGTAATGTGTTTTGTCTTTTTCTAAATCATTCAGTAGACACCTTGTATGGGTTGGTAAGATCTGGCGGTTGCAAATTTCTTTTAAACCTTTTGACACTTGCAGATTGAGGCAGAATTTCAAGTTACAGTAATTCCAAACCTCCCAACATTTCAAAAGTGACAAATAGGGACACTTTTAATTTTAGGGATGTGGCCAGGGGCTGGCTGTTTTTGAGAATTTTTACGTGACTTACTAATAATTTTTTCAATTAAATGCAATGTCTTATATTTCCATAGTCTGCTTTGTAAATACATTTTATTGTAGTTTAAAGAATCTTTACTGTGAGTATTATAGCTGTGGAGCTCTGTTACACACTCAGACACTCCCAAGAAAACTGAGTTGCTGTAAATGAGGGCAATTGGGATAGAATAAAGAGACAGAGGGATATGGGCCCTAAATGAGAACACTTTCGATGATTGTAATTTATAACTTTTGGGCAGTATAGAAAAAGTAATTTGCGATTAACTACTAATAATCTCTAGTAATATAAAAGGTATAGGGCACGAATGAGGTGTTGATGAATGTGGCTACACAAGATATGAAAGCAGTTCACTACATCTGTTTTGGGCTGGCAATAATAAGGTACGTCAATGTGCATTGTAATCTACACAACAGTTCTTATTGTGTGCTGGCAGGAACAAATTGCCTCTTGTCTTCAAAGGGATTTAGTGGTGTTTGCTTAGACAGTCATGGATAAGCTACCTTGAGAAGAAGGTTTAAAAATAGCATGTCTATTCTAGAAAACAGAAAAAGTCATCATTAGGTAATGAAAACTGATGTGCTGTGTTGGGATTGGAAAATGGTAAATAATACATGTGTCAAATAGAGGGGAGGAAATCCAGAAGCAGAGACAGTTTATCTTTTGCAGGATGAGCAGACAATAAACCAGGCATCTAAACAGAAGCATAGGAAGGAGAAACAAAAGTGTGCTGATAGGATCTGTTTGGGAAGCTTCTCCGAGAACAATAAAGAGATTACGCTGGATGAGTTACAGGAGGGAAGAAACCTAGCATGTAAAAGGATAAACAAACGAGTGCAGCTTCATATAGTGATATGGTGTTTATTTAAATATTTTACCTGTTTTGCTTTTGAAAAAAAAAATTGAAATATAATTTATATAGGTATACAAAATCTTGTTTGTGAAAATGTAATGGTGATATTTCTTTTACTATGACTTTGTGTAGCTTGACATGTGGCCAACCAACCTCCTGTTTTTAAGATTTTTAAAAGGAAAAGGGTAGTTTACATACCTTTTCTCCCTCGCCTCTGTGCTCTCTTGTTGGCCTTTCCTCCTTGGCTGAAAAAGCATTGGGCCCCTAGTTCGCTGTACATGTGCGGCAAATACCACGATGTGCAAATTACATTTTCTCCACAAGACCATCTGATTGTATAGCCGAGTTTAACTCTGACTGTCACTAGAGGCACTTCTGCCCCAGTAGCAGAGTGACAACCACTAGAAGCATGTTAACGCCACAATGTAAACATTGCCGTTCTTGCAAAACAGCAATGTTTTCAGTTGCAGGGTTAAAATGGCAGGGGCCTGGCACCCAGACCACTTAATTTAGTGTCTGCATGTGTAACTGTATGCTACATAGTGTATGCGTCTTACTGTGTACCTGGATGTGTGACCGTGTGTATGGGACGGTGTATGTTCGTTTGACTATATGCATGTACTTTGTGCATCTCTGTGTATGTATGTGACTGTGCATCTAGGTATATGTATGTGTGAATGACTGTATAATCGTGTAACTATTTGTTGAGACTTTGTGTGATTGTGTATAAGTGACTGCGTGTCCATATTTGCATGTGAGTGCATGTATAATTGCGTATGTTTGCATGCATGCCACTGTGTATGTATATGGAGGGAAAAAAGTTTAAGAAAGACACGAAGTAAGGGGGGTTAAGAGAAACATAAGGTTGAAAGAGGGATTAGGAGATGCACACAAGAAGGGATTTCTGCCACGGGTGACAAGTGACTTGGCTATGACTCTATATTGGCAGTGGATATTTTAAAGGGACACCACACTGCCCACATTTTTTTATTTTTTATTAAGGGGTAAATCTAAAAAGCACTTGCAAAAAACGCCTGGAGCTGTGTGAGGGGCCCCAACATTTCTGATGACAGCCCTGATGCCAGGACCCAAAGTTTCCCAGAGTATAACACTAACTCCACTGGCCTGCCCTTTTCCTATAGTGGACCCTGCTGCTATCTCTTCCAAGGTAAATGACGCACACATTGCTCTTCATCTGTCGGTTGTTTTCATCTTGTGGCTGATTAGTTTATGTAGATTTGAATGCACCTTTAGTATGTATTATAGATAAAATATTGTGTGTACCATGACAGGCACACTTTAAATTCCATCTTTACATTTTGCTAGCAGAATAGTTTTTAAAAAAAAGGAACTGTTTAAAAATAGTGATGTCGCGAACCGTTCGTGGCGAACTCCGGTCAGCTGACACATCCCTGCCAATCTCCGGCAGACCCTCCCACCTCCTGGACAGCATCCATGTTGAAGCTGCCTTCAACACGGATGCTGTCCAGGAAGTAGGAGGGTCTGCCGGAGATTGGCAGGGATGTGTCAGCTGACCGGAGTTCGCAACGAACCGTTCGCGAGAAGTTCGCGGACGGTTTTGCGACATTACTATTTAAAAACAGGTCTTCCTGACCTGCCAATTAGTTATTCATTATAGATGTAAATGCCAAAGAACTGATTGATAAAGAGAACAGGACAGATATTCTTCAGGTGGTACTCCCGCTTTCATGCATAGAACCGCAGTACATGCGCTGTGATTGCTATGGTAACCACTCTAGTCAGTGCTTTTTGCAGGACTTCATATGCAAAAACATGAAGTTAATTACTATGATCTATTTATTAGTGGTAGTATTTTAATAAATTTAAAAGGGCCAACATATTCCATTGCTCGTCTATTTTAAATGATATGAACATCAGGGACTGTCACCACATTTCTCTATAATCTGTGGAGTCTATAACATGTCTGGCAAATTGCCAACACATCCACGATTAAAACTGGTAGTTTATCCCAGATGTATCCTTTCTGACAGATATATCTTTATTTTTTACATTTACAGCAGAGATTAGAAATGGCCTGGAAACTCTAGCTGTAATATGCAAGGCCTTTATCTCCCATCCCACATTGCATTCACATGAACCAGCCTTGAAGAAAAGCTGTTGTCAAGTCTGCTGGGAAGTTTGTAATCTGGGGGAAATGATGTATTCCAGCACATGTCATTGAGCACTGTAAATGTATATTAAAGGGAGACTGTCATGGTGCCATATTAAATAAACCTTTCATCAATACTTTGTGCTTGTCAAATTGCTATAAAATGCAAAGTTGTATTGACCGTTATGCCATAGGTATAACGGTAAAAGACCCCAGGTTATTTACTCTTACAATCTCCCACTATGATTACTCCCCATTTTTCATTCCAAACTAATCCAGCATGGTTATAGACTCTAACACTACCCAACAACTCCAATCTCTATAAGCTGTTTATCCAATATTCTCATTCTTATTTTTTCCCTTTCTATTTTTTTTTGTCTTCAAAAAGTACACCTTTCCTTCCACCCACCACCTCCAAGTCTTTTGATCTACATTGTTCTTTTTATACATGCTTTACCCCATACTTCAACATGCCACCGTTTCACACTTATGCTTGTTCTCCCCTCCCTCCTCTAAAACCCAAAGTCCAACACATGCATTCAAGTCATAGTCCCACATTCTTTCTCTTTTGCTTTTAGTAGCTGGGGATGTGTCTCGTAATCCTGTTTTCTCCATCCTTTGCTCTGTCTCTAACGTTAACACACCTTTCCCTCTGTTTGGCCACCTGCACTGTCAATGTACACCTCACTCAACATGTTAAATCTAGTTTAACTTGGGCCATCAAAAACCTAAACTTGATCTACATCACTTCTCTTCCTCTCACCAGTCTCCACTTTCTCCCCTCTCAACTCTCTCATGTCCCTCTCAAGCTACCTCACACTATAATTCTGTCTTGTCTACTACTACTCTAGGTATGGCTGCACCAATCAAAGCTCACTCAAGGCAGCAGCCATACTTTCAGCTCTGGCAAAGCAAGTTCACCTGTTATCTCCAACGATGCTTCAGTACTGCAGAATGTTGCTAGAGAAAGTCTTGTGCCATACCTGACTTCCCACCTTACAAATTTATGCTATATTCCTATTATTCTGCCCCTTCCCTTTACAAGCAAGAGCATTTTACATCATATCTGCACCTACTTTTGTGATCCCAAATGCCCAAATACCTTTTAACTCCTTTATTTGCTTCTCCGCTACCCCACAATTCTCCCCTTAAGGACGGAGCCAAATGTACACGTTGTGAACAAAACAAAATGTAAACAAAACCTGTCATTTGCGCTACATGTCTGTCCAACCGTAATTCACCTCTTGCATATTAAATGCACCCACCCTTATTATATATCATTTTATTCAGGGTAAACAGGGCTTTCATTTAATATCAAATATTTAGCTGTGAAACATAATTTAATATGAAAAAAATGGGGAAAAAGTAAGATTTTTTTTTTTTTAGTTCTACATGACATTTTAACTGTCAATGTAGAACAATCAGTCTCTAAAAGCTGGTGTTTTTACCAATTCACATGAATTATAATTGTCTAAGTTGAGAACGACAGGTTAAGAGGCCACGCCAAAGTATCTCTGTCTTCTAGGGCCACACCATGATGTATTTGTCAAGCGCTCTTCCCATTGTTACATCTGCTCCACCCATAATAAATTCATAATTTTCGTTTTATTAAATGAGACAACCAATCAGTCTTATAGAGTGTTGAGTTTTAAGAGCCTCGCCCAAACGTCATAATGGGAAACAAGTACATATAGTTGTATATCTGGTTTTCATGGTTTATTAAAGATGTTTTTCAACCAGTGAGTGCCATATAATATAATTGATTATGTAGACAAGCACTAAATTTAGTATTCAGTGCAGGGAAAACCACAAAAAACAAATCTGTTGCTTAATTTATTTTCCTAAACATTCCTCGCTCCCTATTAAATGAATATATAAGGTGCATTTGGACACCTGATTGGCAGTCTGCAAATTGGCAGTCTGCAAACCTGGAATTGCAGACCCACTATGTAAAAATTCACCTACAGAATTCAGAGTTCATCATTGCAGACCAGTGTTGGACCACTTTGACTGAATAATGTAGAAGTAAATCTTTCTCATTGTCAAAGAGGCTGCAGTGGTGCTAGTCTTTGGGCATTCTGCAAGAGCCTTCCAGAACAATTGAAACATGGAGGTGACCACCCTTAAATAATCATAGCACCAAAACCACTGCTATGAGCTGAGAGTGTAATATTGAAACCTTTTTTTGTGCACAGCATTTGGGCTTGTGTGCTGTAAATGGAATTATAAATTACAATATGTGATGCACACAAGCTCCTATGGTTCATTCACTACACAAGGAAAGGAGAAATGAAACCACTAATCATATCATTAAATTGTTAGGCTTTAATTCTATTATCGATTTCATGATTCGCTTTTGTGCCTTGCACGGTTTAATGGAATCTATTTTCAAGACACATTTGGTTTAAGAATGTGTATTTCAAGTCTTTCTTAAGGGTTAATGGCTCAGGTTATATTTGTTCAAGGAAAGCTGATACGACTGGGCTTGGAACCAAAATAAATATTTATTTTATTCTCTCTCTTTTGCATGTCAGAGGCAGCCTTTGTACAAGTAGATCATTCTGCATTGACACTGGTCAGGTTTGAACCTAATCACATTTCCTTGCTATCCATAACATTGTTATGGTGCTTGACTTCTGGCACCCGAGTCTGCAGATACACAAAAGCTTATTGTTGGGACTCCCGACAGTAGCATGTCCATTTTATTTGCTATAGTCTAAACCAGTTTGTTTGGTTTCACCCTAGAATAATCACATGTCTAACTCTCAGACAACATATGCATGAAATGTAGTCAGGAGTACATCTCGTCTGTCAACCACATCTGTATTACAAACATTTTTAGAAAGCAATGTGTGTTTTCATACATATTATTTACCAGAGTGGCCAGGTCTCTGTTACCCCACCTGTTGGTTGGTTGGTTACTGCTAGATGTATTGAGATGCAGCATCTGTGATCTTGTTTTGTAAACCGGTAATCTAGGTGAAGGATAAGATCGCAAACTTTTTTTTAGGACTATGGTACCATATTTGACTGAGCAAAAGAAGTTTGTAAAGTGATATTTTTTTCTAATCCCTCTTTAAAACGTAATTCAAAGGGGAAAAAAATACTCTTTTAATTGTCTGCTGAGATCACATGACTTATCTATCCACACTATGTAATGCCCATAACACAATTCAATTCAATGGGCACAGTGCATTGTGCTGTAAAAGGTTATTTGCTAAACTTTGATTTATCTGGAACTGATCAGTGAATTTCAAGTTTTTGAAATGGAAACATTTACAACTCTGCTATGCCTTTTTTAGCTCCTGTCAAAACTGCCTCCAAACCGAATTGTGATGCTAATCGCATTTGCACAAGAAATAGTTTATCAGAGGAATGCAGATGAAGTATTGGGCACAATGAGTAGGTTTCTTAATATTTTAAGCTGTTAGGGACATCTCATAGACTAAAATTAACCACCACAATTGATTCCAAGATATAGAGGTAGTAGGAAAGTTATTTCAAGGAAATCATTTTTATTGCACCCCACATCTGATTTTTCTTGTACAAGGCCATTAGAATTTTTCAATAGCGGAATGGAATATATTTGTAGTGATTTTGGACAAAAAGAGGTACAAAATGTGCAGGCACGTGCAATACATATGGTGTTTATAAATTTTATTAAACTTTTTATAATGATGAATCTTGTCACGTGGAAATATCTAGACTGTGTATAATAAGAACACTTCACTGCTGAAAATATGTAATCACTCCAACACGTTCTCTCTTCTACCCAAGCCCAATTTCTTCATGCTTATACCATAGTTCTACATCCAAAGTAGCAATAAAATAGTTGAATTCATATCTACAATTAATATATATGGAGTTTTTGGCATAGTTTTCAGTTGTAACAAATGCAGCTTCCATGACTAAAGCCGTCTGGAGGAAATTAGGAAGCAAAAATAGACTATTTATTAGAGCCTTTCCTTTACTGTTTAATAAATTACTCCTGATACTGAGCTCTTAACGTTTCTGTGCATAGCATTGATATTATGTAATACGCAGCATTAAATTTGCATCATAAAATATATTGGTTACAATCCACATATTCTTGCGCTCTATCCCGCCAAGGAAATATATTTCATTATGAAACAAATGGGATTGCTTTTGTAACTTTTTTTGTGTGTGTGTGCATATTGCTGCAGCAACAGCAGGTCCCTCGTTGGTATGCCTCCTAATTTAAACCATTCCAAAATTCAGGCAGCGTGGCTGCGTTGCCAGGTAACAAGGCCTATGTTGCAGGGTTACCACTTTTTTTTGTAAAAAGTGCCATTGTTCTTTAGCCAATGTGTTCATAGTTATTAACCCTATGTTGCCTTAAAAAGCAGAACTTCACTGTACTGCATTGGTTTTACTTAGTGTATGAGATACATACAATA